TTGGTCCTGTTTTGTGGCTGGCCATAGGTCCAGTTGTGGACATCTCTGGGCAGTAGCAGGGTGCAGTGGTGCAGGAGCGGCCACCAGCATATGGAAACCATCACACTCACTGCGAAGCAGTGCCCTGCTGCCAGGAGTTCCCCATCACTGTCTTCAGGGATGGCTGGGGAAGGGCAGAGTGGGTACTGGGGTGACTGAGCAGGAGGAGAAAAAGCAAACATGGAAAACATCCGTGTGCTTCCAAAATCTGCCTTGAGCTGAATCACAAGATGCTTATATAAAAATGCAGTTAATTACTACAAAGCAACGAAGTGAGGAAGCACAGACATTCACAGCATATCTCCTGCATTAATTAGTTGCTAAAAATGTAGATCACAACAGCGCTGAACTTGCAAATGGGTCACTAGCAAAACTGTCTCTCCTGGTTATTGTGCTGAGAAGCGCTCTTCTCTGTGAGGCTCTTCCCAAAGGCTGTCCAGGTCGGAGGCAGCTCAGAGGGCAGCTGGAGGAGTGTGTTTAAATGAGGATGCCATCACCACGAGCACTTAACTAAGAGCATGTCTACTCAAGTCTGAGAAATATCTAAAAATGTGGAGAGAAGTTAAACCTAGAAGGGTTCACTTGAACTTGAAAAACCCTCAGTCAAACAGGTGTCTGCTGAATGTGCACTGAAGAGCATACACATACGGACCGACGCGCAAAAACAATCCCTGCCTTCAGTACCAGTATGAGCTTTGGCCAACCATGCTAAAAGTAAACTCGAGGATGAGAGAAACGTGAAGCTCCACCATTGCAGAGATTGAAGTTGTTTGCAGACTTCACATCAGATGGCGATGTGCCTGAGTCTGCCAAGAAGTCTGGATTTTGGAGGGGAGAGAAGTCTAACAGAATTTATGTTTCTGGCAATGAACAGACCTGAAACCTTGGGTTGGACTTTTAAGTATATTGGCCGCTCTCAGGCAAAATCTTGGTTGCTGAAACAGGGTGAATCTAACCTTTTTGTTTAGGGTTTGCAAATTAAGGTTTCATATTACTGTAGAAAGATGATTGGTTTGAATAAGATCACAAGCAGGATGCCAGAAGGAATTATTTCTTATGGCAATGGGTAGCTCAAGTAAAACAAGAACCAGTGGCAAACAGAACTGGTGTGTTTCCCCACTGGTGGTGAGAAGAGCTGTAACTCCACTGGCAGCAAAAGGTGTAACTGCCCTGAATACTCTGCTATCTCAGGACAACTTCACATGCAACTTTCCTCAAACTCTTTTCCAACCACTTCCAATCAATACAAGGCTCTGCTGGAAGACAAAACAGGTATCCCTGTTCCCACGGGCTGTGATTGACCTCTGCAGCTGGTCTAGGCTTTTCCTCAGGTAGGATTATTTTACCAACTTTTACTCCAGTACTACTTGTTTTACACAGCAGAGAGGACAAACTACCTATTACAGCTTCAACCTCCTCTTTGGTTCCTGATTGCCTTTTTTTCTCTCCCAACTTTGTTATGGTACTTCACTTCTAAAGCACTTGGAGAAGAAAATTGTGCTAAACAAAACTAATGTGCAGAAGAGGACATTAAAAGTATTTTAGGATTGGGTACAAAGTGAAGACACTTGACTTCTTTAATGTCTCACTACTGGTTGCCAGTAAAATAGAGGAAAAATGAGTTTGGAAAAGATTTAGAGGAATGAATGATGTTTTGCTGCAGAGTGTTCATTTAAGTAAGAAATCTAAACCTGTAAAAGAGAGGAATTAGTCATTATTCAGAAAAGGCTAAATGTTACATGTCTCAAGGTATCCGAGAGAGAATGAAGTCATGTACTCCATGCATCTGAAAAGTTGCCTGACTTTTTGACTTAATGAGCAAATAAAAATATCTGTAAATTTCTTATCACTTATGCAAAGAGTTTTTGAATGTTGATTACTTACTTATTCAGTAATTAGGAAGTAGCTTCTTTCCTTCTGATCTTTTTTCTCTTGTTTTTGTCTGCCAAAAGAGGAGGGCATTTCTATAGAAACTACAAAGAAATTGGCAATTTCAAAGCATAATTAGGAGCTTTATGTCCTTCATTTTAAGGACATTCCACACTATGACCAAATAATAATAATAACAAAATACTGCAACTGAAACAATCAGCTGGGTTCTTAATGTAAAAAAGAATGAGGGATTATTAACACACAGAGCTCGTTCCTGAATATGGGAGTGAAATTAAGTTATTTCAGTGAAGTGAAGGAAAAATTTTCCAGTAGCGTTGTCTGAATTGACTTGTGTTCTGCTCTGGGGATATATCAGGTATTTTCTGTCTCACAGACAAATTTTTTAAAGCCAGTGTTCAGTTTGTGACTATGTATTGCAACCAAAAGTTGTGTATTTAGTTACAAATGTGATCTTAATTCTGCAAGCATACACATACATACTGGAAAATATAAGTAAACTCATTGAATTTACTGGGACTCCTTTGTGCTGAAAACTGAGATGGACTTGTTTGCAGATTCACATGCTTATTCATTTACCTGCCTGCTATGCAAGATCAGCTTGAGAAAGCTCCAGGCAATAAAAAGCAATAGCCCCAACTTCCAGATGTGTTTTGTAATGTTGCCTTAAAATGATTTCTTTAGGCTGCTTTCCAAATTGATTTGGTTGGATTTGTTTGGTTTTAAACCTACAAGCCAGTTCATAACAGTGCCCACAGAAAAAAAAAAGAGTTGGGTTTTTTTGTGTGGTCTTTGATTCCTTCTGCATGTCTAGTATTAGTCAAACTAAGTCACAGTGCCTCACTTTTCTGGGCGTTTGGCCCCAAGAGAAGATTCATGCCAAAGTACCAGATTAAGATGGCATCATTAGAGTCTCCTATATACTTTGACATGATTTATTGCCAGAGAAGAATTGTTATTTATGCTGCCTCATCCTCTGGCCTTTCTTGTTCACATTGGAGCCCACTTTTAGTCCTCTTTTCAAGCAGAGTTCAGGCTTTTTTATGATGCTCTGAGTCCTTATACAAGGGAAGTTTTGTCTTGTTGAAATCATCTGCAGTGATGAGCACAGCAAAGGCTTGTTATGGTGGAATTTGTTACCCAGTGAGGGAAGCGTAACTGACTTAAGCCCTGAAAGTGTTTCACCCAGAAGTCTGCTTATTGAAGTATCTCACAGGTACATGTATGTGCACAGGAGAACGTGGGTGTTACCTGCACACACCAGAGCCAGGGTCCGAACTGGTGCCACTGCTAACTGCGGGGAGTCTGGTCCAGTTCCACAGGCTGTGGATGGGACCTTATCTGCCTTACTACCATGTTAAGAAGAAGTTTAAATTCACTCCTTAGCTGCTGCTCACGGGTAGCTCTGGCCTTCTTTTGCTTCAGTGGTGAAGATGCACAGTAATAAGCATTGACGCGGTAGCATGGCATCCTTGTTACACCTTAAACTCCTTACACATGAGCCTTCTGCTCTGTGCTTCCCAAATACCTAAGTTTTTTTCTGAGGCTTGCATCCAAAAAACACCCTCTCCCCACTCCATTCATTGTTTTGTATGATCTTTACAAAATGTGGCATTTCTGTCTAAATAGTTTGCCAAAGGCCTGTGACAAACAATATTAAGTTGTCAGTTGTGAGACATTAAAGAACTGAACTGTCTTCATACCCAATCCCAAGATATATTTACGTGTCAGAGCTTTTGACTCAGTGGTTGTCACTGGCTCCAATTTTGGGATACTCAAAACTAGAATACACAAGCCCAATTCTCAGAAAGCACTGTGTTCCCTTTCTGCAAGTGTCCTTAAACACATTTCAAAAATATGCACAATTTCATCAAGATCAGTCAACACTCTGGAATTTCTGACTGCGATGCATTTCTGCCATCTTTACTGTATTCACACAGTCATACTTTCTAAATTCATTTTTAGAATGCATTCTGCCTGGCAGAAACATATAAAGAAAATTGCGAGAAATATCCCTAACGATTTGTGAGTGACATATTTGGGTTTGTGATTCTGATTTGCTGTCATTGAATAACTTTTAAAAGGATGAAATTTTACGTTTGAAAATGAAAAAAATAAGGCAGACGTAATAATTTACTGCATATAACTGATCTATTTCTCAGTGCTGTTTATCAGGAGAATTGCTGTTGCATTTTATAGAACTCTTCTCTGTTTAGTCCTAGTTGAAACCCACCTTGCCAAATTAATGGAACAGTCCTCCTTCCACTGAATGCAAGACTACTGTAGCTATGTTACCAACAATTATTTTTATTTTCAAAAGAATTATTTCTTTCTGAAAATGGCATGTAAGTGTCACTTTGCTTGATTAGATGTCCAAGAACAGAGATTAAATGATCAGAGTCAAGAAAGGAGATGTGACTTAAATGGTGACGTGCATAGTTGGGTTTTGTTGGTAAATGCCAGTGAAAGCTCAGCTTGGTGTGGATCCTGCAGAAGCAGAAGACCAACAGCATTGCAAAAAGAAAAACCGCCTTTGTAAAAGGCTTGTTTAAACTTGCGTCTCCTTGCACCTTTCATCAGGTAGCTTCTTGATGCCAACTCAGCATCAGAGCAGCACTAGCTAGCACGTACGCTCACAAACTCACCACTGTGGTTGAATTATTGTGCAAGTGCAGAATAATCCAAGGAGGTTACATCTGAACCTTGTAGAAGCTAGAAGTGCATCCCAGTGCAGAGGACTGTCCTTCCGCAGGACATCTTTTGCAACACTGCTGGTCTTCACCCTCGCCAAGGGATGAGTACCTAGTCTACAGCTACCATGATGCCAAGTTTCTGGACAAATATGCTCAAGCATTTAGTCATTGGATTCTCCCAGTGGGACTGAAAATTTACAGGAAGCAATGATTTGTCTAATAGGAGAAAATTAATTAAAAAAAAAAACAAACGGAGGACAATGCTTGAGATTTTTCTCTCATAGTAAGATGGAGAAGCAATTAATCTGAGTGGCTCTGTTTTTTGAAAAAGTCAGTCACATTTGCTTTCCTAATAGCATTCTTGTGTTTTTTGTGTAGGTCCAGCTGCCCAGCGCCAGGTCCAGAATGGGCCATCTCCAGATGAGATGGAAGCACAGAGAAGGTAAGTGGAGTTAATCAATTCTGGTAGAGATCTAGTTCGTAACCTGGGACAATGTGCGGTCCTGGCTCACCAGTGAGCACTGTTCTTTTTACTTGTACCTGTTTTAAGCTGATTGTGAGTTTTCTGTAATTACTGCTAATGATTCTGTAATGACTTTTAAAGGGTGAACTGAAGCCCTAAGTAAACTCTTTGCTCAAAGGCAAGCGTGAGGCATGCCGTTGTTCAGAGTTAAAGCCAAAACATGTTTAAAAGCAATTTGTAGAGTGTGTGTTTCTCAAGCACATTACGAAAGCCTAGCCTTATCCTGTTCCGGATCACTTGCTGGCAGTAGGCAGTCATGTTGCCCAGGGAGCACCTGATGGACCATACACAGTCTCAGTAATAGCTTAGGTTCATTTGCATATGACTACTTCCTATATCATATGTCGTTCCTTTTATGAACGTTTTGCTCTAAACCACCATAATAAATGAAAGTGCAGAGTTGTACCCTTCACCTCTACACGTATGTCCAGACTTAGCGCCATTATTATTACACATGGCCTTTTCTCTGGCCCCTAGGAATGATCTCCTTGACATCAAAGGGAAGGTAGGCAGGAGTGTCCGTCCATCCTTATGTGCCTGTTTCCATAATCAAATTATGAGGCATATCTCATTTCAGCTTTGCTGGTTCAGCCGAGATTCCTGTAGCAGCAGTAGAAATCCCTGTAGCAGTAGTATCTTCAGCTTCCTTCGCTAAATATAAGCCATACCTATCCCATTCTGGACAAAGTCTTCTAGTCTGACTGGTAGTCCATGCTGTCAGAGCTGCAATCTGTCTGCCCAGCATCGGTGGTGTCCACGCCAGCAGCACTGCTCAGCCAGGCTTCTGCTTCTCTGTTAAAGTACAGGCTTGTGCACACAAAAAAAACCCACCGTTGTTCCCATATTCTTGCTCACTGCAAGTGCTTTTATCCTCCTATATGAGAAACATTGCACAATATTCTCCCTTAACACATAGAGCTATAAGCCCATGAGCCTCACTTCATCAGGAGCATGCTGCAGTACAGAAATCAGCAGGACCTGTCGCTGCTCCAAGTTTGGTGCTGGCATTGCTTATATAAGGCGTCTGCATTTGCTTCTGTAACAAGAGGAGGATCAGCAAGAGTACAGTTGGCCCTCCAGGAGACTTAGCCCAACATTTGGTTCAGCTAATAAATAGCTTTGTAGGGATTTTAGTAGAACCAGACCTGCAGGTCCAGTTCAGCACCAAAGATGTCAGACATTGTTCTGATGTGGCAGATGCTCTGTGGGCTCTGCCTTCGTTTGTAGTTGCAACCTGTAAGCAGGCAAGGTCCCCCCTTGCAGGGTCCACAGACTGCCCTGGCCCTTTGGGTCGTGTAGCTTAACATCACATGCTCCTGGAGCAGCAGGGATGAAGTGTTGCAAGATATTGTTTGCATTGATGCTCCAGGGCTACCATTCTGACTGGTCCCTATACAAACCCATGTATAGGTCATTTAAGATGAGGCCCTTACACAGGCTGTGGTAGGTACTTAGGATCCTCCCTTTTCCCC